TCATTTAAGATAAAATAAGATAATCTTTATTGTCATTGTTTACTGTGAGCACACTGGCACACATTAAAAATGAAATTCTGTTGCCTGCTCTCCAAAGAAAGTATATATCTACCCATACATATGCATAACAGACATATACACATGCTATATACATACATATTTAGCAACTTTTCAAAATTACAATGGCACTGGGAAAAAATGAGTTATGACCATTTTTCATATTTATAACTATTGTAGCATCCCCATGATCACGTAATCAAACTTTGAATGCTTGGCAACTGACAGGTATTTATAATGGTTGCAATGTCCTGGGGTTCATGCGATCACCTTTTGCAACCTTCTGAGAAGCAAAGTCAGTGAGGAAGTCAGATTCACTTAAAAACCATGTTACTAATTTAACAACTGCAGTGGTTCGCTTAACAACTGTGGCAAGAAAGGTTTCAAATGGGGCAAAACTCACTTAACAACTATCTCGCTTAGCAACAGAAATGTTGGGCTCAATTGTGGTTGTAAGTCGAGGACTAGCTGTATATGTTGCTATTGGGTAAAATTATGCATAAGGTAGAATATATTTCTGATGTTTACATTGAAAGATTCTGTCTGCTACCTGCCAAGCACCTCACATTCCTTTATAAACTCTTCAAAAACTATGGAAATGTCATACAGTAATTTACTGTCCACTCTACCTGTAGGAGAGATTATCAGTAACTTCTTGTACCACCTCCCCAAAAACGTGTTCTGGAAGAAGGGGTATGGTAAATACATAACCTAAAGGCCTTAGTGGCTTACATCACATTGGACAATGAGTCGAGTTTAAACCTGAGGCAAGCTAGAATGTCTCACAACAACAATAATGATAATAGCTGAAAGACCATTTTGAGTTGAACAACAAAAGGGGAATCTTCAGTGATGGTTTCTTTATAGGTCTGTCTTTTTCTCATCAATTCTTGGGATTGATAAAAGCCACAACAGCCTTGGAGGGCTCTTGTTCTGAATTCTGCTTTGAATTCTTCTTATCCAAATGTGTTTGACTCAGCAGACAGAGGAAGCCAAACAAAACTATTTCAGACAGGGAAGTTGGAGTGAGGGACAATATCTGCCACCTCCAGAAAGGGAGAGGTCTATGGCCACCCATGTTTAATGCTGAAAAATGGGAACATGCACTGCTGCTCTTTGACTGTGGAGAAGTCTGCGGAGGATTGCAGCTGCTCATTCTAAAGACTGGGTGGCCGTTCTTTTTCAGTGGCTCTGAAGAGAGTTAAAATTAAAAACATTGCTGTGGAAAAGAACTGGGCCCACACTCCTCTTGAATGAAGCAAGATGATTAAGGAAGGAGGAGGGTGGTTTATCCACTGCCAAACATCCTGCCTACTGTGTGAAAAATCCTCGGCAAAAGTTGAACTAATTTTATGAGAGAATTATACACCACAGAACCTGACCTTTGTGAGAATACAGGACACAAGCCAGGGCAAAGAAGAACAGAGGCAGTTTTATGCATTATGGAAACAGGAACTATAGGAAACATGGCTTTACATTCTGGGTTGCCAGAGCTGCATATTTTTAAGCACTTATAACCAGTATATTTCTTTAAGCACCTGTGTGATGCATCCATGATGTGTAAAAATGTGTACGTGTGTTTTTAAACACCTTTGGATCTAAATTTGGGGACCATTAGTATAAGACAGTAATTTTCAATATGTCTAACACATAAAGCTGCCTAAACACAGCCTTATCCTAACTTGTGTTCTGTTTCATATTATGTGTAACATTCCTTCCAACAGTGTTAATATTGTATGTAATGTATATTTTAAGCACAAATATTGTCTATCTATATTCTTTCTTTTCACTATGTGGCTGTAAATTGCATTAAGGATTGGTACAGAATATATATCCAGGTACAGATATTAATATTTACTAATATAATCATGATTCCTTACAACTCACAACTGACCTTCCCTACTCACACATTTTACCCAGCTGTACAAAATGTAGAATATTTACATTTGTCTTGTAAATATTACTAAGGAAAAAAATGACTCATTAAAACTTTAAAGTTTAGACCAATCATATATTAAATTCTATGAGAAGTGGATAATAAAGCACAACGATAAAACCAAAATAAAATAAGAAATAGGTATCAAAACAATGCAGTATATGACAAAATAAAAGATAAACCAGCTCCAAGAATAAAATTGCGCAGCATTTTTATAAATCACTGAAACAGTATTTGAAATGCTGGCAAAACACTAAAAATGATTTTCTCCTGACTCAAAAATCTTTTCCAGGGAAATAGTTTCACAGAGAGGGGGCCACCCCTAAAAAGCCTTCCCATTTAAAGCCACCCATTGTACAACTGGGGGAGGGGGGGCACAGAAAAAAAGGCCTCAGAGAATTATCTACTTTTATAGATAAATCTGCAACACATTTCTTAGAGGGAGAATGTTAGTTTCCATTTGCTTTTTTTTCCCCTGCTCTCCCAAATGGAAAAGGTTAAATGATAACAGTTATTTGGAAAAATACAGTCTCTTGTATCACAGAGAACAATGATATTAGACAAAACACATGGATCCAATTAATTAATGAAGATTTTCCGTGTGTAATTTTACTGCCCTTATTCCATTACAGTTCAACATTTCCTATTGTCATGGCTTGCATTCCTAAATAGTTCCACATGGCCAGAATAATCTCTGTGACCAATTGAAGACTGATAATAAAAGAAAATACTTGGGTATAGAAGCATGATAATATCAAGTCACAAGCGGCAAGATCCAATGAGGTGTCTAAAAGAATTTCCTCCTCAGATTCCTCAACATATTTTCTCAATGTTTTATTTTGGAGACGCTAGCATGTCTCCAATCTTGAAATACTGTGCGTGTGTGTGTGTGTGTGTGTGTGTGTGTGTGTGTGTGTAAAATCATTCTTTAGCAACTCTTGGACTGGATAAAAATAATAATTCTTGCTTTGTAAATGCATATAAATAAGTCCTTCCTAAACATGAAAGTCTGGGGAGACTGAGGGAAATTAAGTGTCTGGAACAGTTTTCAAAAAAACTTGCCCTGCCAGTAAAACAGGTTAACCAGCACAGCATAGCAATTTTGAAGGAAGCCATTTCAATAGTGAACACATTTTGGTGGTTTAAGTAAGAGACTTTCTATGGTAATTGAGAAACCTGCAGCACCTCTATGGTTTTGTGGAATACAGTTTCAAGCTGATGTATAAAATAGGGACCATCACTGTCCCTCCAATGTCCCTGGAAGACCTGGGGACTCTTGGGGTCAAAGGACTATGACAATAGTTCCCCAACACTGATACACTAATGTTAGTGGCAAAAAAAAAGAAAGAATATCTTCCTGCTGTTTTCTGCTTGGCCCATGTTAGTCTCTAACAAAAAGAAGGGCAGGGTTCATGTCTGTAAGGCCACAATGTTGTTCAGTGGATTTACAGCTTTATTCCTTTTCTGGGAGTTTATTTCTGAGCACTAGCCATGAATAGAGTACACACTCGTTTTATGTCCCAAAGGTGTTTGTTGAAAGGCAACTGAACTTTTTTTTCCCTTGAAAATGTTTTACTTCCCATCCAAAAAGCTTCTTTAGAACTGAACTGAACTGAAGAAGTTTCTTAGATGAGAAGCAAAATGTTTTCAAGGGAAAAAACTAAGAAAATCCAGATGCTTTTGACAAGCACCTTTGGGACAAGCATGACCTGGATGATTGAGAATCTCCATAGATACTTGTTTATGAAACAATTTTCCCCCCACAAATACCACTTACGTTGTTTCAGCAGTATAATTCAGTATTAGAGAAGATTTTTTTTCAAACAAAAACCTTTGCCGGTTTGGATTTAAATAGTTATAGATAAGAAGACATCTTATGCCTGTTCTAACTGCTTCAGGGTTTTATTTTATTTTATTTTATTTATTTTTGGCCTGCTGTTGATTTGGAATTGGCAAAAACAGCACTGGAAGATTTTGATATCTAGACTGACATCTAGATCAAGAAGACTGACATCTAGAATGTCAATTTTTCTTGGCTGCCACATGTATTTATTTTTGTGCTATATTATAATTGTTTTTAATTATAGATTGCCTGCTACCCAGAGCAATTTGCTTGAGATGAGCATCTATCAAAATTAATTAGTTATAAATAAGATTTGCTACCATCAAAGTAAAAGTAAAATATTTAAGAGAACCTCTCACAATTTGAAAAGTTTTCTGCAGAGTTAAACATACAAATTTCATACAGATTCCAGAAGCCTGTAGATCATGCCGCATTAAAAAAAAATCTCCTAAACAAATTTCATCTTTACAAAAGACAGGTAAACTGGAATATAAAAGGTAGAACTATATTGTTCTCAAGCCTCAGGTCTCTCCCAAACCTGCCATTCTCTTACTCTACAGAGCATCAGCAGGCAGATTTTTTTTTAAAAAAATGGGGAAAACCCAAGAGCTTTTGTTCCTTGTCCAGATGAGCTGCCCTCTTTGACCACAGGGAAGAGGTGAAAATCTGGGCAATCTCAACCCCATCTACTAATGTATTATGGTTTTAGCATGCTCAATGTTGGGATATTAGCATTTGGCTTCAATTAGCTTCTTAGCATTTAAACCTGAGATAGAGAGTTCCATATATAGACAAATTATTAAATCCATACTTTCTTGCAAGAAACTAATTTCTAATTTTTTAAAATAAAAATCAGAAACACTTGGATTAGGAACGAGCTTCTTTTATTTTTCTAAAATATCAGTTCTGATTATGGATCACATATATAATCCTACTTATATAGATCTTTCGTATTATTGCCCTAATGCACTAAATCATTTTGGCTGCACAAAATGTGATAGCTAATTTTAAAGGAGATGCAAGCTTAATAGGCAAAGCTTCAGTTAAAAAGTTAAAACAATAAAACAGCGTGATTGGGAAGATTCACTAAAACCTAACAATGAGGTAACCATACACAACATTTACTTCAGAGAAGGTCAAGTTTCTAAATAATTCTCATCTTACCATTCCTTCGTTTGAAGGACTCTTTAGCCCTAGACATCCAACAGATAAAGATCTGAAAGACAGAAGGAAAGACTTGAGATAGGTTACTCAAAATAAGCACCTGTGTGCAAGTGAGTCTCACCTGATTATAGAGTTCTTATATATCTATTTAAATTAAAGTAACCATTTCTTATATTCAAACCATCTTCTACTAATTTGACAAATGCTCAATTGCAACCTTTTAATTTTTCATCATCCCACAGTGAATGTAGGGATATTGTCAGGTACAAAGAAACAGGACCACTGGTTAGGTTGCAGCATAGATTTATTCAAGTCTATACACAAGTATCTGATTAACTAAAGTTCAATACTAAATTGGATCCAGGTAAGTGTCAACAGAATTCAGGAGGGGTTAGACTTGGAAAGTGGCTCTAAGTAGATGATGCATTTAACTCTGCCCTCCCAGCTCTGCATGCTTTTCTCCTGCAGATATAAACATAATTTTCTGAGCTATGCAGCTTTTATTTGTACTATTGACCCACAAAGGACTCTACAGTTTTGCATAAACATGATTATGGAATCAAATATTTTTTTTCATAATAGAGTGGGTCATATCTAAATCCCAAGGAAGAACATTTAGTATGATCAAACTCCACGCATTTGAATAACACAATATATTTGAAACTTTTAAACATCCATGATCAGGCAAATCAGGCAAATTATACAAAAGTATGAAGGCTATTGCTTAACGCATTGTAAGCCGCCCTGAGTCTCCGGAGAAGGGTGGCATATAAATCAAAATTTAAAAATTTTTAAAAAATTTTTAAAAAAATATTGTATGTTAATAACAGACACCCCTCCTCCCAAACCAGACAGCCGCTCCCCAAGCAATCCCCACAAATCTTCAAGGTGCCTTTAAAGCCCTACATGGCCTGGGACAAGGTTATTTAAAAGATTGTCTTTTCCCAGTTACATCTACCCAACCCCAACAGAGTTGAACAGGTAGGATATACTACAGGTCCCCTCTCTTAAGGAGGTACATCTAGTACAAGGGTGTCAAACTCGCATCGTCACAGCATCATCACGTGACGCATCGCGACTTTTTCCCTCTTTGCTAAACTGGGCATGGGTGTGGCCCACACGTGATGCATGTGGTCCGTGGGCCGCGAGTTTGACAGCCCTGATCTAACAGAACCAGGAAAAAGGACCTTCTTCATGGTGGCTTCCTCCCTGTAGAACAGTGGTTCTCAACCTGTGGGTCGGGACCCCTTTGGAGGTCGAACAACCCTTTCACAGGGGTTGCCTAAGACATCGGAAAACACATATTTTCAATGGTTTTAGGAATAATTTTATGGTTGGGGGTCACCACAACATGAGGACCTGTAATAAAGGATCGTGGTATTAGGAAGGTTAAGACCCACTGCTGTAGAACATCATCCTTACAGAAATTACCTTAACATTCTTTTGAAAAGCCCTAAAGACATGGTTTTGCCAGTGGTCCCGGAGATCTCAGGGTGATATGGAGCCCATCAAGTGGTTGCTTTGATTGTTGTCACCAGTCCCGGGGGCCGGGGAGGAGTTATTAGGCTTTACCTAACGTTTGTGATATTTCTGATTCTTAGGATAAGATACCAGAAAAAATATATTTCAATAAATCCATCCTGGCTTAGACAATGAAATCAAACTTGCAATCCAAAACAGAAAAAGCTGACCATGGTCTATGGTATTAGAATGAGGAAGGGAATCCTTCCTTGAAGAAGGCACCATCAAAATGAGGACTTTATATTGTCATATTTTGCTGCCTAACAGTCTGTTTTTGAATATTTAAAGCTATAGGCATGTGTTTACTCAGATAACACACTTCATGAAGGAACTGCCCTCAATGATTATTTTGCAATGTATATGCAAACATAGTGGCTTCATTCCAGATCTTCTAATGTGTAACTTTGACTCTGGTTTTTCCTTCCTTTTCTTTTATCCCTTTCCCATCTTTCTGTTCTGTTTTGATGTAGTGTCATTTAGATTGTAAACCTCAGGGCAGAAATGCCTTGTTTTCATTGATTGAACCTAAGTCACTGTGTGATGTTTTTTTCAACTTTAGAGCAGGGTATAAATACTTTAGGTAGTAGATAAACACAATCTCAATTTTAAGGCAATTCGTGCTATTTGCTCTAAGAACAATCTTCTCCTGTTTCATTGTTGATAAATTGCACAGTGTATCAGATATCACAGGGATAAAAGTAACATAAATCTTTAATTTAAAATAATAGTGAAAAAGCCCAAATATATGTTGTTGGATGTATGGATATTATTGTAATGGCCACTGAACTAAGGTCACAGAGACACAAATTCAATTGCATTTGGGCCATAGAAATTCATTGGGTGACTCTGGGTCAGCAGAATCACTCAGCTGAACCTATCTCCCAGGACTGCTGTGGAGAAAATTGAGGGAAGAAGGGTTATGATGCAGCCTTGAGCTTATATTTATTTCTGATAAATATAGGCATTGCAATTTCCATATTTATGAAAACCACAATGGGAAAAATATCCCCAAAATGTCAAACAGAAAAGATCCGAGTGTCATATTGCTGGCAACCCATTTCTAATCTTCGAATGACCTCACCCAATTCTGATGTGTGTTTTTTAATATTACAGATGTTGAACCATAAAACAGAAGAAGGGTATTGTTCCCGAGAAAGACACAGATGCAAGGGATATGCAATAATAAAATGGATTTTTACTCTGCATGAAGCACTATCATCAAACCCTACTAAAATAACAGGATAATCACAAATTTTCTAAGAGGCCATTGTGATGTATCAAGCAGATACCATAGGTAAAGAAAATAACTGACAGATTAATAAAATTAATTTCTTTCACTATTACTGAATAAAAGAGTAGGACATGTCACCTACAGTAATAGCTGCTTCTTCAGCATTACAAGTATTAATTAGGTAAGTATATTCTTTGTTATTCTTAATATTCTCATTTTAAAATAATTTTTCTTCATATTGTCTCTTTCATATGCGTAGCCTGCATATCAACAATGGAACAATACTATTTATTTCAAGTGTATAACTTTTACCTGGATCATTGTATTACTTTTCCATAACTAAACAGTTATTCAGTAGGGATAGTGATTCAACAACTATATGTTTACGAGAACCTTAAAATACTCAGGTATTATAGCATGTAATGCATTGTTCTGCAGATTAGGGACAGGTCAGGAAGGCACTCACATGACCAGACCTGATTTTTTTGACTATCCAAATCACACAGGCATTAAGCAACTCCATTCTCCACAATTCATGTTTTTTTTCCTGGAAACCAGCAAAAAAATGTCACAAATAGCCATCACATGACCACAGAACATTGCAACCAGTTGTAAATATTGACCCATTGCAAAGCACATGAAATGTAGTCATGTGATAGGGGAGGAGGAGGATGTTTCACAACAATCGTAAGCGTTTCACGGGCTACTAAACAATCGACCCTAAGTCTTCAAGATTAGAAAAGATATATATTTAACTGAATTTACTTTGCTTCATTCATGGAATTTTACAGACAATCCAAAAACATGGTATTCTTTCTAAGCTTTCCATTGTTTTTCTATTTCCCTCCTATTTAAACATCCATAAAAGAAGTGAGGGGAAAATCTATGAATTTTTTTAAGTATTGATGCTTCATGAATCAACTTTGGACTTTTTTTCAGTGTGGGAAATAAATAGTTACATTCAAGTAAAGGAAATATTCTATGTTATCCAACAACTATTTTGTAAAATGACCTTCGTTTATTAGGTCATTATCATCATCCATACATCCCACATTTGATGCTCTTCTGATCTCAGGCTATAACCCTATCATCACACATAAAAGTATATAGGCCACAATAATTTATGACAGTTATTTGGGGATTAGGCTTTAAGATTTAGTTGTTTGTTTAAAAGACTGAAATGACTACCCCTCTGAAAATAATCAACTAATTCACAATCAAGTAGTCTCTTTCAACTTGGCTTCAAACATCCAGTTTTGTAGTTTTCTGGACGACAGTATGAAAATTACTTGGAGACAATATCTACATTTATTGCTGACTGGAAACCCTGAATGGGATTTTGCATAAAACAGAAAAAAAAATGAATTTATTTAGGATTTTTATGATATAATCTAGGATATAATCAAGGATTATGTAACTTTAGAGAAATAAATAAATCTATAATTGTACTTATAATTACTATAGAGAAGATCCAAAGCCACTTTTCTGTTTTTTCTTTCTTTTCTATTTTTCTTTTACTTTTTCTTGCACTTTTAACTCTTCTGGATTTCTTTCTCTTTCTTTTTTCCTTCTTATTCTATATTAGTTTGTATTAAAGTGCGTGTGTATATACATATGTATGTATGTATGTATATTTAAATTATACATGTAAAAAAAGGAAGTGATTTGCCAGTGGTTCCTTCCAGCATTGTTAAGAGAAAAGCTGTGGTAGCAGAACATATAATGATTGTCAGCCCTGGAGGCCATTTTTTTCTTTGGATCTTCCAAGTAACCCTGACAATGATATTATACAATAGTGATGCAATGGCCAAATTGCAGAAAGTCTAGATTCATATATATATATATAAATTATATCATGAATTCTTCCATGAATGTCCACTTAGAATCATCAAGAATACCTCTCCTGTTTATAGGTATTAGATGGTAATCTAATCCCATTTTAAAGTTAGGAAAAATAAACTTTCCACTTGCTCCTTATAAATGTCCACTTAATACTGAATGCTGCTTAGCATTCGGCCTAGCTCAAGTCACAATATTGATGATCCTTAACTGAGTCATACCACATCTGTTCCAGAAAAAAAATGGAAAAATGCTAAAGAAATTTTACTTTGGAAGAAATACATCAGTGACGGTAAACTGTAGTTACCTTTAAATCCTATATAAGAACAAATGGTGTTTTTTTTTAAAAAAAGAAAAAAACACTGCACATTTGTTTGTTGGTTTAAAACCTATCTCAGCATCTTAGTGTGAACATATGCCATTCTGTCACATCGTCAATATCCATATGCCACAGCTGCTGC